GGAGAGACAGAAAGTCAGGAAGGAGAAATCAATTGCTCCCTTGACCTGAGGAGTTCAGGACCAGCCTGGCCAACATGGAGAAATCCCGGCTCTACATAAAATACAAAAATTAGCCATGTGTGGTGGTGCCCACCGGGGATACCAGCTAATTGGGAGGCTGACGCAACAGTACCAGGGTGCTCCCTGCTCTTGATGGTGCACTTACAGATACCACAGGTTCTGTTAGGAGCAGGGTCCCATTTAAGCTCCTCACAGGAGGTACTGTGTGCTATCGCCATGTTTCCCCCAGTGCCCACAGAACACAGCTTTGCTCAGCAGAAACTGGAACTGAATGGAAGTTCAGGAGCCTCAGACATTTAGACCAACAGACTAGATGCTACTTCTCTGCAGGATCTTATACTGTACAGAGAGGATTTCTGCAAACATGGGTTTAGCCTCTTGTTGAAAAAAACAGGTGGTTCTGTGTCAGAAATCAATAGCTGGGATTGTAACCCCCGTCCACACCCACCTTACTGCAGACGTGGAAAAGTTGCTAAACACTTTGGCCTCTGTCTTCCATCTTTACCAAAGTGTTAAAATACCCATTTCTATTTTCTACAAGTATGGGAAAGATGAAATTAATTTTGATGAAGAGAGCGGTTAGTTTCTCGAGACAAGACAGGACATTGTTCATCAATTTTCTGGAGGTGAATCTATAGAACTTACTGTATGTCTTCAGCCAGTAGTTCAGGGAGTAGTTCACCTGACTCATAGGACATCTATTTTTGCTGACTCGGACATTCAGTTTGTTATCTTCCTGCTGGGAGCAGGATTTCTCAATGCCTTCTGGAATGTTCACCTCTGTGTTTTTTCTGGAAGGAGGCCTGCCAGATGCCACCTTGCTGATGTTTGGGGCTGAACACAGAAAGCCACGGACTGGGGAGGAGAAACCCAAACACATGATGGGTTAGAATCTGGTCACATCAAATTGGTTTAATCGGGACTGAGGGATGTCACTGACAGCCTCGCCTATTGATATGAAGATGTCATTTCCCCGAATTAGTCTTCTCATCTCCACTCTTGATCTTCTTAAAGTCAACTTGTCTTAGCTACTCATTTACCTTGAAGCCAGGACATAAACTTTTCTATCTTTATCTTGCTTATAAGTTCTGAAGGATCTTATATGCTACAGATAAGATTCCTGTAAACATGATTTAGTCTCTTGCAGAGAAAAGCAGGTGGTTCGGTGCCTGTGTGAGGAATCAATAGCTGGGATGTCAACCCTAGTCTCACACCTGTCTTACTGCAGAGGTGGAAAAGTTGCTAAATACTTTGCCCTCTGTGTTATGTCTTTAACAAAATGTTAAAATACCCATTGCTACTTTCCTAGAAGTATGCGAAGGATGAAATTAACTTTGAAGAGAGTGTATTGCTTGTCAGAGACAAGATAGGACATTGATGAGTACTTCCATGGTGGTGAACCTTAGAACTTACCTTCCGTCTTCAGCCGGCAGCCCAGGTAGTAGGCCACTTGACTCATAAGAAGTTTATTTTTGCTGTCTCTGCATTTCTGTTCTTGATCATGCTCTTTTCGATCTTCTGTAAACAAATTCAGAAGGGCAGGTCACATTGAGCAAATCGCACTTCACACAAGACCAAATCTGCGTCCATTCATAGCACAAGGACGTAAAATATTCTCAGTGTAAGAATGTGATATTCTGACAGGAATGTCTAAGAGGCCCTAGATTAGGCTGCCTCAGTAGTATATGAGCCTGTTTTTCAGTTCCATGGGACAAACTGTCCCTCATCTGATAGATCTTAATCACGTATCCTCTGACCTAAGTCAGTGCAAATAATTAAAACATTTTCCCCAAAATCTTACAGAATTGTCCTAACTACTTTCCAGAAGCATTGCTGCAATACCGAGTTATCTCATCATACATCATGGTCAATGAATCGGTAGAGAAATTTATATAGGAGACTGGACCAACGGACAAATTCTAACAACTTTTACTTAAAAAAGAATCCGTGGAGCCAGCCCGGTGTCTCACACTTGGAATCCGAGCACTTTAGGAGGCCCAGGATGGCAGATCACTTGACCTCAGGAGTTCAAGACCAGCCTGGCCCACATGGTGAAAAGCCACCTCCACTAAAAATACAAAAATTAGCCAGGTGCGGTGGTGCCCACCAGGGATCCCAGCTAATTGCGAGGCTGAGGAACCACTACCAGGGTGCTCCCTGCTCTTGATGGTGCCATTTACACATATCACAGGTTCTATTAGGAGCAGGGTCCCCTTTGACCTCTTCACAGGAGGTACTGTGTGCTATCACCATGTTTCCCCCGGTGTCCCCAGAACACAGCTTTGCCTACTGGACCTCAGCAGAAACCAAAACAAAATGGAAGTTCAGTAGCCTCAGACATTTAGACCAACAGAGTAGATGCTACTTGTCTGCAGGAACTTATACGGTACAGAGGCGATTGCTGTAACATGGATTTAGCCTCTTGCTGAGAAAAACAGGTGGTTCTGTGCCTGTGTCAGAAATCAATAGGGGGCATTGTGACCCCAGTCCCATACCCACCTTACTGCAGATGTGGAAAAGTTGCTAAACACTTTGGCTTCTGTCTTCCATCTTTACCAAAATGTTAAAATACCCATTTCTATTTACTACAAGTATAGGAAGGATGAAATTAACTTTGATGAAGAGAACTGTTAGTTTTTCAAAACAAGACAAGACATCACTGATCACTTTCGTGGTGGTCAACCTATAGAACTTACTGTGTGTCTTCTCCCGGTAGTTCAGGAAGTAGGCCACCTGACTCATAAGAAGTCTATTTTTGCTGGCTCTGAAATTTAGTTTGTTTTCTTCCTGTTGGGAGCAGAATTTCTCAATGCCTTCTGGAACGTTCACCTCTGTGTTTTTTCTGGAAGAAGGCCTGCCAGATGCCACCATGTTGACGTTTGGGGCACGACACAGAAAGCCAGGGACTGGGGAGAAGAAACCCAAACAC